CACCTTCCGCCCCCCGCGTTAGGGCAGCGAGGGAGGCTTGCCCTGGCCGGGAACGGAAAGCCGCCCCTCGGCCTCGTTCAGGACGCGCGGCTGGAGAACGAGCGGCGCACAGCGGAGCCCCCTCTCTGCTAGCTTCCGGAGAATAAGTGTGGAAAGTAGTGCATCTCTTTGCTCGCCAAAATCATGTGCTCCTTACAGTGTTTTCCAGAGAATAAGCTGGTGCTTTACTACGTAGTGAAATAAAAGATACCAGTGCTGTTAAAAGCTTGGCGCATCTCAGCTGGAAGCAGAGTGCTACTAAAAAAGAGTGCCAGGGACACTTCGTGGGCTGGAACCCTTAAGGAACTCTCACGCCCGCATAAACGTGGGGAAAACGCTATTGCTTAAGAAAGCACAACTTGCCCTGTTTTATTAATAGGAAGGTGGCAGCTACACTAAGCTTCTAAGACTCCTTTCATTTGGTACACCTAGAAAAGTAGCACAGGATGAGAGTGGGATTTGATTTAGTGTCAGAACGCTTTCTATTTGGAACCAAACGTCCCTAGCTGTCCCCACTAAAAATGTTGCCATTGGTCAAAGCTTGAGGACTTTTCCTTCAGGGCAGTTTTTTAAAAGGCCTTTGCTATATCCTGAGTGTGACCTGTCTCAGCATGAAAAAAATCCTGTCTGTTGCATAGAATGCTGCTTGTTTATTTAACAAATGTAAAATTTAAGCCATTTAGTGACCCTTTCTTGGCAATTCAGAATAACACATATATTAACAAGTTGCATGTGTCCAAATTTAATCTAAATGACAGACTTGTTAATCATAAAGTTTGTAAGAGAAAGTTGGAAAATACTTCTCTCTCTCTCTCTCTATATATATATATGGCATTCCATCCTTTGTGCAATATATTCAGATCTTTCTTCAGCTCAAAGGTGACCGTGCTGCTCTTTCAGGTGGCTGAACTGGTACTCGACAACTGTCGGTCCAGCAATGGTGAAATTGAAGGCCTGAATGACACATTTAAAGAACTGGAGTTTCTCAGTATGGCCAACATAGAGTTGACATCTTTGGCCAAACTCCCCACGCTGACTAAGCTTCGAAGGGTGAGTGTTAGGTTACGGTACTGTTGAACAGCATGTTGATGGTCCACAAACGTTAATGTCCATGTAGTCTTTTGCATAAGAATCCTGTCAATAATAATTAGTCATATATGTCTCCGCAACTATTATGCCCGCTTTATCATGAAAACACACATTTGCTTAGGTAACTTTTTATGAGAGATGGTGTAGATTTCAAAGTCGACCCCACTGACTGACGCATTTATGCTGTAGCTGGAACTGAGTGACAATCTAATTTCTGGAGGTCTAGAAGTCCTGGCAGAGAGGTGTCCAAACCTTACATACCTAAATTTGAGTGGCAACAAAATCAAGGATCTCAGCACCGTGGAAACTCTTGTAAGTATAGAATTGGGATGGGGAGGGGTATGGGTTTAAAGAGGTCTTGTACTTGGTTGTCATTACGTAGCGGTCACTGAATCAAGGCCCACGTGTTTAACGTTCCAGTGCTAAAGAGCCTTGGGAAAATTTAATACCATTGTTTGAAAAGTTGGTAGCGTAACTGCTACTGTAGGTGAATTGATTGTAAATGGATGTACATTTACTGAATACCAGACATAATCCAAACGGTTTAAAAGAAAAGGGCTTTGACTTTACCGCAGTCCTTTCTAAGATGGGGCCCTCCTGATGCGTTGGATTACAAATTGTGCCATCTTCAGCGATGCATCCAACCGGTCTGGAGGACACCAACTTGTAGAGCTCTGCCCTGAACTGAACCCTGGCAGATCAGAATGAAAAAGGAACCAGAAACAACAGCGCAGGTTTTTGCATGCAGCGAGAAGATCATTTCCCTTTGGCATTTCATTTTATAACGGAGAGGTTTTCTTGTTGTCTAGCTGCTATTTCTAGCTAATCCTTGAAGTTAGGGTCACATCTGAATTCGATGCCAATATGAATGCTGTTATCCATATCATGTCTCAGGCAGAATTATTCAACCTAGTCACTGACCAAGAAGCTGTGTTTCTAAATTCTAGCATACGAAGTGAGTTGGCACCAAACCCAAACATAAAGGATAGTTTCAGTTTTCCTGTTGTCTTGACAAAGTTTATCTTGATTTAGCAACTTAATAATGTCTTCAGTGTTTTTCCTAACTTTTAGCAAAATCTGAAGAACCTGAAGAGCCTTGATTTGTTTAACTGTGAGATCACAAATCTGGAAGATTACAGAGAAAGCGTGTTTGAACTTCTTCACCAAATCACGTATCTAGATGGGTTTGATCAGGATGATAATGAGGCCCCTGATTCAGAAGATGAAGATGATGATGATGGTAACTGTTTTGTTGATGTGGAATATTTACTATGAATATTTTCAAGCTGGGGTAGGAATTACAAATTTGAAATATGAAAAATGGCCTGAGAAGTTCAAAATACACTATTCAAACTATACATGCTAGTACTAAAAACAATGGTTTTTCTTACGGGGGGAAAGAACCCTTGCCATTGGCAAATTGTACAGTTGCATATCCACTCAGCAGCTTAGTTACACACCCCTCTGTCACATGCTACCTTTCCAGAAGCAAGACAGTATCTGAGCACTTATTTCTGCCATCTCCTACATTCGTTTAGAAGCAATGTTTTTTTAGAAGAACTGCACTATGTGCTGAATTTGAGCCTCTGGATCATCCCTTAAATTCTGAGTCAGGAGTGAAGGATACAACATGCATTTATTCACTTTTCTTTCAGATGGGGATGAAGATGAGGATGAAGATGAGGACAAAGCTGGTCCCCCAGGAGAATATGAGGAAAACGATGAAGATGACGATGCTTCAGACTTGGGGGAGGGGGAGGGGGAAGAGGAAGAGGAGGAAGAGGAGGAAGTGGGTCTTTCATATTTGATGAAAGAAGAGATTCAGGTTATACCTTACTGTTCATTTGCAAAGCATTTAACCTTATTAACTTGCATTCTAAGTGTTAGTATGTTAACACCCTGCCTGTTTGTGCCAAAAGTACTCTACAGGTTTTCTCCTGCACAGCATAAGGGGATATTCACTGTATTCAAGCTTTAGAAAACAGTCAAATATCCCATCTTCCTTAATCTGCATTCTATTTCTTTTTTCTTAGTTCATGTTCTACAGGAACACCATCTTTCTCACCAGCTTGTCCTCAGCTTTTTATTCCTTCATGTCCACCAGGCTTCCTCTCTCTTAACTAAATTTCTCAGGAGAATCATCAGTTTTTTTAAAATCTGCATCTCAAAAACTGCTTTTTAAAATAATGTGAACTGATATTTCAGCTGAAATGTTATTAAGTTTCCACAAGCAGGATCTGGGTCTGGGTTACTTTCTTTAGGAGAAAAGAATGTGACCTTTATCATTTATTAAGTGAAATATAGCTCACCCTTCAGCCCAGTACCTGCATAGCAATCAGCTGAGAATTGTGTAAGGTGAAATCTAAAAACATCTGGACAGCTATTTGAGGAAGGGTGGCATGGCTACTATATTTCTGCAACTACAACAGTTGCCTTAAGTAAGGGACTGTTTTACAGTAATTTTGATTTTCACTTTACTTGCCTGGAAGACACATACTTATATAGTAGTAGTTTCATAAGAAGATTAGTTAAATGGCACCTTAGCAATTCTGAATTTATTTCTGAAATCATCAACTTGTTTCTCTAAAGGACGAAGAGGATGATGATGATTATGTAGAGGAGCGAGAGAATGAGGAAGGAGGAGGTAAGTTTCATATGCAACCTGCATGTAAATAAACTTGTATTGACATTTTAAAGTTTTACTACTTTGAATTCAAAGGCTTCCTTTCTCTGATAATAGTTTTCTATCAGAACAAAGGAACTTTTATAAATTCCATTTAGCTGGGATGGACTTAGTTTTTTCATTTAATAATAAATTCCTGGTTCACTTGAGCTTCTCAATTACTTGTTTAATATTATTTAAATTTAAGTTTTACTGAGTTATTTTATATGTTGATAGACTTATTTATTTTTGCTTAGCACATTCACGTTGATATTTTAATTTTGTGAGTTATCATTAAATGTAATTGTTTAAAAGTAATTGTTCAAAAGTGATGAAGATTAAGTGTACAGCAATGTGCTGGAGCCACTGCCCTTTAATTTTCTTTTGAACATGTGTAAAAATTCTTTCCCACAGATGCCGGTGTCCGGGGGGAAAAGAGAAAACGTGCAGCTGAAGACGAAGGAGATGACGACGACGATTAAGTTGTAGAAAATACAAATAGGACCAGATTCATTTTTGTTGGAGATATGCAATAGTGATATGCAGACTTGTAAGGCTCCATGTATGATAGGTCTCTACAAAAGATATTAATGTGTTTAACTTTTTATAGGAAGTGTTTTACTATTTTTGCCCTTTTTATCATTCCAACTAAGACATAATAGCCCATCGTATTTCCATCCGTTTTACTCACTAAAGCAGTTGCCTCTTTCTCCCAATTTCCTCCCTAGAAACTATTTTCCTCCCATTTTTTTCCTTCTGTTTCCTCATATGAGCATGCTGTTAACCCTAGCCAGTTCCTTCAGATGGATTGAATGGATTTAATTTAAACTTTTAAGATAGTATGCTCATGTCAAATATACTAGGTAAGATAATCAACTCTTTACTGGAAAGGACTATATTGCAGCTGAAATGGGAGCTGGGTGATCTGGAACTTGCATTTTACCTTATCATTTCATTTTAAAAGGACATTTGAATGATGCACTGAATTTCCTACTTCATTTGTGTGTGTGGTTAGTCTCTCTCTTACACACACACGCACGCACACACACAGTTTTCTAGTAGATAACTTTAAGCAAGACTGGAATACAGTTCTCTATTTTAGTCTCACTCTTTTCCAAAACAAAATATAAACTTGAATGAACTATAATTATTTCCAGATTATAATTTGCTTCATGATCCTTTTGACCGTTCTTCTAGACTAAAAAACAACTCATAGTTCACATGCATATTTCAGAACCCTTTCATGTTCTGATTCAAATTGGAGTCATTCTTCATTACTAAATTTAAAATAAGAGATGTTACATATCCATATCCTTTTCGAGCAATATTGGCAGGTAGATATACGAGTGAGCTGGGCTTAGAGCTAAGCCCCTGAACAACAAAACAAGTTGCTTGTGTTGCTGAACTGGGAAAACATTCAGGAAAGCAGCTGTTCAATTCAGTGGGTTTCTTTGGCCCCTGAAGCCAACAAAGGGGAGAAAGTGGTTTTCAGGTTACACCCTGAGTCATTGAAAGAACTATGCAAAGTTGTGAACCACTTGGCAGTTATCTCTGGGATAGGTTTAGCTCATAGGCTGCCAGTTATTTCCATTAAAAGTACGGCTCTTGTTGAGGGAAATTATTCAGTGAGAATTCTTGATTTCACTTTTAAAAAATATAGAAATACATTTGCTACGCATGACCAGCAAGGCAATACTAATCTTTTCTGTGGAAGGTAGGATGGTGATAGACTGGTTATCATGTTCGTATTCCCCTTTGCGCAGGTTATTTTGACAAAACATAGAAAAATGGATTCAAAGCTCTTTTCTGGTTCTCTGCTTCTGACAGATGAACTTGTATTATTAAATAAATATTTTACCCAAATACACAGCTGTATTCAAGTTAAGCTATTTCTTTTTATTGTATGTTGGATCTTAGAAAAGCTGTCACTAATTTGAGTATAGGTAAACGGGTATTTTTGCATAGGTGCGTAACCTCTATGGCATTTGCCTGTGATTATAAATAATGCATTACACACATAGGCATTCTTAGTAAGTGCACATTGCACTCTTAGTAATTGGCTTTCACGAACTTCAGTAAAATTAAATATTATTCTCCCCCCACCGAAAAAGTAGGGTGATATGACACAACTAATTTTTAAGGCATCTGAACAGAATGGAGTATGAAAGGCAGTTTAATAGAAATTTGGTTATTTTAGGGGCCTTAAAGGGCTTGTTAAACATTTGTCCCGATCTCGTTTTTGTGTAAGAATAATACTTTAAAAAACGCATATGGTCCTGAAAGATTTGCGTTTAAAGCTGCGCTGCTGTAGTAATCCTGATCTCTTATTTCGTGCACCTGCTTGTTTCCAAAGGTCCAGCTTTGCTGGGTTTCCAGACTTCACAAGGCGCCCAGACACGGCGGGCGGCCTGCCACGACCCCGCAAGTCACTGCCCAGGCCGGCCTCTCCTCCCAGGAGTGGCGGCG